CCTTCAGAAATCATTCTAATATGCTGATTTTTCCTAATGTTTTTGAGGAAACTGTGTTTTTTCACAACTGGAAAGTTCAAAAGAACAGCATTTATTTGAAATAGAAGTATTTTAACATTATACTTGTCTTTATAGTAATGTTAGATTAATTTAATGATTCCTTGCTAAATAAAAGTACTATTTTTATTTATTTATTTATTTTTAAATCTTACTGACTCAAAATATGAATGTAAATTTTTTTTTTTATTCTGATGTGGAACATGCTTTCATAACCAACAGTTTTGTGTGTGTGTGTGTGTGTGTGTGTCATATTTTAGCCTAAGAAAAAGGGTACAATACAGAATAGCCACACATTATTCACATGCTTTGTGACTGTTCTAAACCACCGAAATTCATTGTACAAATTTCACATTTCACCACCCAGAAACAAATGTGCAGACAAAGATCGTTTGTAACTTCAACACAGCAATGATCGTGACAGAGAATGTTATTTGTATGGAATGGTTGATTGACACATCTGAGCAATGAGAAGCCTATTTGCACTTGTCATAAGAGAGAATTATTAACCATCTACACCTCGGCCACCAAACTTTGATTCTCACTCTCATTAGCATTATTCAGCAGTTGGTCTGTGGGTTTGAGGTGGTAATCCTGCCTGCGGGAGAAACCATCATGGCATGCAAACCTGAATTTGTACTTTCAAACAAACAAAAAAAGCGGGGAAATGCCATCTCGCCCCATATCAGGGTGTGTCTATTGCCTGGGATGTATGCTAACACCCTGTGATGTGTCTGGCTATCTCCAAAGGTTAACCGCTGAAGAAGTCACCAGCCCAATTTGACATGACATCTCCCCCCACCCCCAAGAGTTTTTGAAGGGTGTCAGGTAATATAGCACCCTCAGATTTCCTCAAACAGTATTGTAATGTTGTAATGCCTACATTTAGTTGTAGCCCTTAAAATTATTTTTGTTGTTAATGTTTATTTATTTTTATTTTTTTATATTCAAATTCAGCATTTTAGTCTAGTGTTTGCTTCCATTAATGAGTGGTATGACATGTTCGCTGATGCCACAGACAGAAACCAGCGTATGTATTTGGTGAACTCTGCAGAAGAGGTCATGACCTGTTGAAAACTGTCACAGCGAAACATCCCTGTGAAGTCAGGCTCTTTTTAATGAAGACGTAAGTCTGTGCTTTTGATCTCATTCCTGGAGAGGTTGTCAGCACCCCTTTCTTCAGTCACATCTGGTCGAGTTATGGGATGATGTCTCATTGGGGTGATTCCAAATCTTTTCATAGATTTTTTTTGTGCCCCGGGCCCCAAACCCACCTTGTTATTTTGAGTCCCCCCAGCTGGTAGACAATAATGCATTCTGACAATCTTGTCACAATCCCTTCCACCACCTCCGTCACACACACACATTTTTCAGCACACCCTTCCCTGCGTACTGAAGATCAGAGAGGAGAGTGGATACATCAGTCAGTGAGTAACACGACTATCTCTCTGTCAGGATTCAGTGTCAGCTTTGATGGGAAAATATTATTGTCGATTCTTTGTTTAATCACTATCATCATTAGAGTTCTCAGTGGCATTATGTTTTGAACATCTTTACAACGCTCATGGCAAATTTCTAAATTAGTAGTTTAAACGACAGAGAGCTGTACAGGCATTCTCTAATAAGCTACCCTAAATTGGATTGGTACAGTGTGTATGTGTGTGAGAATTTTCAAATCTGTCAATTGGGTAGAAATATCACTTGCATTTCTTTTATTAGCCCATAAGGAACCAAATTCAGCACCCAGTGGTAAAAATATTCTGGTTTGGCAGCTGAAACTGGCTCTATTACACCACACTCTCAAACTCGTTTTTCAGTCCCACAGTTTTATCCTCCTCCTTTGTGGTTTTCTATCAAAGAAACCTCTTTATTCTTGTCCACCAGGGACATTTCTTCGCTTTTGTAAAAGTGCATGCTTAGAAGTTATCATAATACAGTTCTGTCTTGAATCCTGTAAGGCAAAAAGTTAATTTCATCCCTAAGAGAATTAACTTTATTTTAGACTGTTATATTGAAGTATTGTTTTTTAGACTCTAATGCTATTTTTATTGAATCATGTTGTGTGAAATGGATATTATGCAGTATGATGCATACTAACACTGTTGCATTATGAGTGTATAAAGGCGCAATTGTTAGATATGAAGTCATACAAGAAACAAAGTCACATTTACCTTTTTTTTTTTTTTTTTTTTTTTTTTACTTTGAGGTGGTTTCCATAGATGCACCACTTTAGATATATGATAATTATTTTTCAGATTATATTTTGATATCCCACATGTGATGGGCAATAATACCAAAGAACTATACAGTCTAAATTAGGTTAAAAAAAATCTGCTTCTATTTGCTGATACAGTAACTAACAATACTATTATCACCAATATTTTATTGTGCAGTATTGTGCATCCTTGAATATAAACAAATTTTGGATTCCAGAGGCTTGAAAAAGATATTTAATCTCAGTGAGTGATAATCTTCCATTGTGGCCTCTGCATCCCCATGACCTTATTGGCAAAATCTGCAGCAGCGTCATCTGACTCTGCCCTCAGGTGTCCATCATAGTTGTTGCGGCGACACAGAGCAGTGTTGCCAATTAGGCCAGTGCTCCAAATTGAAGGCCTTTGTCCTGCTGTCACGTCAACTGCCAATGGAGAGACCTCCTGCGGGTCTTCATTTAACTCACACGGACACTCCCTGTACTGTAACAGAGAGAGCAGCAAGATCAGAATAAGATCATTCATTATGTTTGTCCTCTGTCCTCTCACTGTACTTCCCTTTAGCCAACAGAGAAGGGTCACTTCTCACAGCAAGAGCAGGTCAGCACGAATGTCTGAATTTTCTGCAAGTCAGGAGTTGTTCAGTTCTGCTCATCAAGGCTGCATTTATTTGGTCAAAATACAGTAAAAACAATAATATTGTGAAATAATAAATAGCTGTTATTTTAATAAGTTTTAAAATGGAATTTATTCCTGTGATGGCAAAACTGAATTTGCAGCCGAAATTACTTAAGTCACATGATCCTTCAGAAGTAATTCTAATACGTTGCTTTGGTGCTCAAGAAACATTTCTTATTCTTATACATTTTTTAGGATTTTCTGAATAGAAAGTTCAAAAGAACTTTTAAAAAATATATTTTTTGTTAACCTTATAATAAATGTCTGTACTGTCACTTTTGTTTAAATTTAAATCAGAATTGATGACTAAAAGTATGAATATCTATATATTAAAAAATTATCCCATTTATTAGTATTCACAAGCACACTCATCTTACTAACAGACGTGATGATCTCTTGTGGAATAATGGTTGATGAATACAAGATAAATACATAGAGCTGTGGTTTAATTTAATGGATTTTCAGTGCCTCGACCCGTGGGTGCTTAGTTTAAGTAGCCACTCTGTACCTGACCGCTGTGGGCCTTGTTTGAACGTGATAGAGAAGCTCTGCATGGCTGACTTGCCACATTAGAGCGCTCTGACCCCGCAACAGTGAGATTGGATATGGAATAATCCATCTACTTAACAGAGAGAGAGTATCAGTACTCTCCATCTGACTGAGATGGATGAAGCAATGCTGCTTCTCTGATGCTCTGCGTTTGCTTTGGCATGCTATAAAGAGAGGCCTGGGTTAGATTCAGGGAAGAGGATCCGCACATCCTCGCCAGACACAACAGTCAATGTCCTGGGACGGTCTGGAGGACAGAGTCAGAGGGAACATCCGGCCGTTTATTCTTCCCCAGCTCGCCTTTATCTCCTCCAGCGCAGAGCTCCAGCCCTGGCCCTGTTCACCCAACCTTGGACACTCAGATTAAATCCAAACTAATCCCATCCACTCACGCACGATCAGAGCTATTAGAGCCTGCCCAACGGCTACCTAAATCTGCCCAGCATCCCCTGACGTGTGTCCCTGCAGGTGTCATCACTGATAAAACCGTATATGGAGGAATTAGTTTTAACTTCAAAAACACAGTGCTCTCCGAAAACACGTCCTTCATCCTACAAACTAAACCTGCAGAGGAGGTAGAGAGAGGAGGCATGGATACAGTTTCTAGGGAGTGAAAGGACACTAAGCTCATATCATTGTCCCATAATCCCTTTGTGTTCTCAGATTCCTTGGATTCCAAGAGTGAAATCCCTCCTTCGCTCTGTCTTACACAATCCATTGTTGTGACCTTGTGCTTTTCACTAAACCCATCATGACTGTGACGGCCCGAGAGGTGGCCGCACAGAAGTGGTAATGTAGATGTAACACACTCTATCTCTCGCTCATATACACAAACACACACACACACACACACACACAAACATACATACACATGCATTCAAATTTACATGAAGGACATGTGTTTACAGTTAATCTTAAATTTAATAATTTCTCTGTCTTTTTGTTTATATTTTCTAGAGTAATGCTAGTTTATAATAACCACACAAAACAACCAATAGTTATTTATTTTATTTTTTTCTTTAGGTTTGCATATCTTTATATCATCTTTATTTGCATTGTTATTCATTTGGAGTGCACACAAATGAGTTGCGTTGTATCTGTTATTAGGGGTTCAAGCACGCAGTGCTGAAACCCTATTGTAATTGTAAGGATTTTTATTATTATTATTATTATTATTATTCTTCCCTAAAACTGAACGGGCAGAACAAACCGTAAGGCCTAGAGAGCTGAAACTTGGTCAACTTGGTCAAGTCATGCTCGCTACTCAGGCGCAAAGAGCCGGCCCAATCGGCCAATAGGGGGCGCTACAGCGATCAAAAACGCGTAAGTGCTAATAACTCCTAAACCGCTTGCCGTAGACTCCAAAATTTTACATTTTTGGAATCCTTGGGGTGTTTTACCATCAACCATACATCCAGTTTGGCCTAGACCCTAAAATATACCACCTTAAATGCCTTCATGTGCTTGAACCCCGGTCATTGCTGCTTGCAGCTATATTTTATACTTGTTCCTGTTTAAGTTTATGTTTACCGGTGATGAGTGGCGTTTGTCTGCAGACGAGAGAGTCAGAAGTAGCGTCCCGGGTGACAAAAATCGGAGTCCGGGCAGGAACAAAAAATGTAAGCGTTATTGGTTCCGCTTGGACATACCATTTGCAGAGATGGCACAGGGGAGCAGGAAAACTGGAAATCTTTATTAATTTTATTTCTTTAGTTGTATGTTTATGGTACTTGGCTAAATTTGCTTTTCTTTAATTTTGATTTAAAATTCATTTACTTGATTCCATTTTGATTTGTTTAGTGTTATGTGTTAAATGTAATGTATATTGTTTTTCCCTCTTGTGTTATGGGCCCATCTTTTCCTTTGTAAACGGTTTGCTTTGTTCATTTGGGTGGTCGGTTTTAGTCCGTTAGCTTGTTTTTGTTTGACCTTATTAGTTTTTTTTTAAATTTGTTTATCTCATTTTGTTGCAACAAGTTTGAGGTTGTAAGTTGCTTTCTTGACTTGTGTTTAAATAAAGACCCATGTTTTTGTTTTTTTGTAAGAGTTGGTGTTCCTTCCTCCTGACCCCTCAGTCCCTCACAATGACTTTAACCTATATTTGGCATCAGTGGGAAATTATTGCAAGGCAATATTGTGTTGACACCTATTACTACTGATATTGCTTGTGCCAAGGGTTAGGGATATTATATATATATATATATATATATATATATTTAAACAATTAACATTTACATTTAAGCATTTGGCAGATGCTTTTATCCACATTGCATTCAAGGTCAAACCCATGATCTTGGCGTTGCTAGCACTGTGCATTACTGAATACTGTAGTGTGAATTCTTCAATGTTAAAATACTTATTCTAGTTTATACCATATCCCAAAATGGGTGAGTTAATGATGACAGAATTTTCATTTTTCGGTGAACTAACCCTTTAATATGCAGAGACACTTCTAAGTATGTATATAGGACAGACAGAACTTCAGTGAAATTGATGAATAATTTTCACAAAATAAATATTGCAATTGTTTGTTTTTATTTAGATTATCACAGTTTTTAAAATGTATTACTTTATTTTGGATTCTCATCATTTAAAACCTATTGTATAACCACCTTTACACAAAGCTGGTGTCACCTTATTTATGTTGACAGAAAATGCTTACTGAGTGTCATGACAACGGCAGCGCTAGCTACAAATTTAATTTACCAGCATTGTACTTGTTCTGTAAATGCAAATGTAGTTTGAAGTACTACCTTATGCTGTATTTTCAGAACAGGACGAGCTGTCTGGAGCATTAAACTCAGTGGGTTTTAAGTCAGTCACATTTCACATTGGACCAATCAGCTTAAACAGCTCCAACAATTTACCCGCTTTATAAACAAGCATCACATGTGGTTTTGACTGTGGCGTCTGGCGCTGAGAGCGAGAGCGAGAGATGGTTGGATATGCTTGGCAGAGTACCTCTCATTTCCTGTGTTAACTTACGAAACAAACCGTAGACCTTTTGTCTGTGTTTCTGGACTTATTCGATATGAGTCAAAGAGCAGAAAAAGTCTCAGTCTTCTCATTAATATCTTACGAAACTGTTATTAAAGCTGTGTGAGGCAGCAACACGCTCAGCTTGCATAAACATTTCATTGTGTTTTATATATTGTGCTTTGCTTTCTGTGTTTTCCATTCCCTTTAAGCAGAATGCATTACAGCATGTTCCGTCTGTAATCACAGATATTATGGCTCTGTTAAACCTTTTCAGAGAGCAAAGCCTACGCAGAAACATCACTGTTCACTTTGTGGTAATTTGGCAGTGTTTTCCCAGTGGAAAGGCAGGCACGAGACAGGCGGGCATTCACAAGTGTCTGCGGTCTAAGTAAATAACCGTTTGCTTGGCTAGATTTGTAAGCACAGGGCCCTCCATCTGATAAGAGCCGTGTAATGATTTTCAAATGGGAATTTACCCTCCACATTATTTGAGGGGCCACTGTTGTCTGGTTATGCACCCATCATATGCCACATGCACACAATGTGTGAAAAAGATGATCTGATTATATGACTTTATTACATTTATTTACTGAATTACTGAAATTAATAAATAACTATCAATAAAGGAATCTAAATTTTGTTTATTTATATGTGCATAGTCATATTAATAAAATAAATGCACACATACTGTAGATGTTGTAAATAAATGAATATAGATTTCTTGAATTGATATTCATGTATTTATTTTTATTTATTTAGCTTACATATTAGATGTTCATGTATGTATTAATTTATATTATTTTCTTGCAGCTAAAGAAGAAGCAGGTTTTCTAAATAAGCACAAACTCTGATACTAGAATTTCTCAGAGCCAGATGTCATTTCTGGCAGACGTGGTTGTCACGGCATGAAAAGAAATACTCCACCCACTGATGTGGCAGTGTGGTTAGTTTGTGATATTATTAGGTACTGTACTGCTGCATTTCCCAAAAGCATCATAAGTGGGGGTGTGCGATGATGACAAAAAATGATATCTCGATATTTTCTGGAATTGATAGCCGTAATTAGACAATATTTTGCTGAGCATGTTATTGTGCTGGTACTTTGACAGGTTTAGGACTGCCGTGGACAGCTGACTCCCAAATCTTTTGATATTCTTCATATTCTGTGAGGTGGTTAGTTTGCAGAAGTAACATATTTTTACCTTTTATGGGCATTTTTACCTTTTATAAAGCCAATCTAACCTAATTAAATGTATGCATCATCTTTTGTGTCAAATTCTTAAATTTAATCAATAAATCCAAATAGTAAGACACTATGGTGCTGTTACCAATCAAATGAAATCAGTATCAACAAAATTTGCAATGCAGAGGTGGCACAGAATCTGCATCTGAAGTGGCATTTAGATGCATTTACTGCAGACTGTTTAATGCAGGTTTAACCTGCAGTTACAAATGCTTAAATAATGTTTGTTGTTTTAAAAACAAAATGTTCAATTAGGCCTGGGCGATAAAACGGTATCAATATTTATCGACTGTACACCTTCTTCGATAACGATACAAAAAAATGTTCGATATAGTGCACGATATAGGCACCTGCTCTGAGTGACGCAGACCGCACACACAAACATGAACACATGCTGAATTGAGTGCTGTGCCTGCCTGTGATGAGGAGATTGTGAATAAAAAAAATAATTTTAGTCAAATTTAAAATAAACATTTGCATTTGAATGCAAAAATAGTACAATCAAATGTTAGGAGTGAGTCAGGGAGCGTCATCAGTGGAGCACGAGATGCGGTGATGATGATGTAAGTGACGTTGTTGCATTTAAATTTTTTGTTAATCTAGCCCACGAGATGCGCCGCTGCTGCGTTATTCATTCAAAATATTAGAGAAATATAGTATATTGCTCTTTGTTTTAAAAAAGGTTATAAAAAATGTCAATAATTATCGATACCGAACGATATGAAACATTATATCATTGATAAATTTTTTTGCTATATCGCCCAGCCCTACGTTCAATACTGATATTTGAAACGATTTGGGGGGAATGGGGGAAAATATACTTTAAATATAAACGTAAAATCACCAGTAGGTGGCTGCAAATCACTGCATGAGTAAGTCATTGACTCATTCATTCAACTGATTTGTTCAAATGGCTTATTGTCTCAGTAATGAAACACTGTTGTGTGTTGATCAGTGACGCAAAACAGTTCTGCTGTGGCTTTGTTTGAAACTATTTTAGTTGATGAAATAGAGAAAAAAACAGGAACTTGTGTGTAAAATGTAAGTCAATTAATATTAACTTGTTTATTGGACTGTTTTGTAAAATCAAAATCACATTTGCAATCGTACTGATATTTGGAGAAAAACTGTACTCTTCGTGTGATATTAACTATATTAGATATAAATATAAAAGACATATAAAAGTCATACAGGGGCATATTTGCCCCCTTATCTTGAATTTTGGGGGGAATTCTAAATGTATTTTAATAGACTAAATCGCGCTGTGAAAGTGTGGACTCTAATTGCGCATGCGCAGTAGTCTAACCTACATCTCATAGTGTATGCATGCACTCTCTGGTGTGCTTTTGTTTGGTTTTTGCGATATACTCGATAATGTCAAATCGCATATCGTTTAAACAACAATTACGATATTATCATAGACGATATATAGCACACCCCTAATCATAAGCCTAATTAGATCGTAGAACCATTGCCACCAGTGGTCTCTACGATCAACTTAGCTCACGATGCTTTTGAGAAACGCAGTCTGTTTGTTGGCACAGAAGGTACTGTAGTCATGTTTTGTGTGAAAATGACCACTGTCCACTGATATCCATTTTTCTTGAATGCACGCACAAGTCTTTCACATTCTCCTTTGTGTTCAGACTGAAGCATATGTCATCCTTTTAATGCTCAGGAGCTGGGCTGGGTCTTTGGGGCAGCGCCATAGACATTTGGGTCACAGCCCGAGTCCCCCTCCTTAGTGCAGTAGGGTTGACTGGAAAATCCCTGCTAAACACGCAGCAGCTGGAGTCCTCTGAGAGGATTCGGCTCTGGCTCAAACTCTATTGCCAGCATGTTCGTCATGTCACCACGTCAGCTGATACCCCATACTGCGGCACATGCACATGGAGTGATGACATCACTCCTTGGCTGATGTGAAACAGAAGACTGTGTTTGTTTCTCCTTTGTTATGTTGTACAAGTCTGTTTCTGACTTCTTAGCAAACTAGACTTACAAACAAATCATGCCCAAATCAAAGCAACAAAGAAACACCACCAAACAAAGGTAAAATCTAAAGACATTTAGAAATCAATTAAAATTCATAATATCTGATTATTATATTATATTATATTATATTATTGACAATGTAGTGATCAAATATGAAATATTCTATTTAAAAATGTAAATAAATATTCTATTTAAAATATTGGTAATTATTTTTATTTGCCTATAAAACTAATTTCAAGCATTTAAGCCTAATGTTGATTCATTTAGATCATAATTTAAAGTGTTTCCAACCTTTTAACTTGTGTTTATTGTGGTTTTTAATACATGGTTGCATCAATACTTTACAATCAGTATTTTTTTAAATCATTCATTCATTCATTCATACTGCTCACACATTTGCTCACACATATTGAATTGTGACATCTCGGTGTGTATCATATTGTGAGATTGGTGTTCGCCTAGCTTAACAGAGAGAACCGTGGGTCTTTTGGTGGTGGATCTGGTGTTTGTATGTGTGGCCAAGTTTATTTTGAGTTGTGTGAGTTTGTGCTGGTTGGCGTCCTGTGCTGCTGGGTCCGTTATAGATGAGTGCCAGGACTCAGTCTTACTCACTGCCATCTGTTCACACATCTCCTACCATTCTCAGTTCCCCGCTGAAACTCAGAGACTTGCTCAAACTCTCATTTAGAGTACATTAGTGTAGAATATCACATTTAAACATTTGTTTATATGGCTGTTTTCCCTCATCAGGTTTATTTGGAATCACTTATGCATAAGGTTGATTCAGAGCAGCATGATATAAAGCACTGACACTTTTCTTTATGTCACTGTAATCATCTGTTTTGATGTTTGCTTTGCAGCCATGGTGGTTGGATCTTCATCTCCTCTCCTTTCCTCTCCTCTTTCTGTCTTCTACTACTTTTTGTATCTTTAACTACTTCTCGCATCTTCTACTATTCTCACATTGTTTTTCACTACACTTGTGTCTTCTATTTATCATTTCATCTACTACTTGTGTTGTCTTCCTATTTTTTTCCTAGTTTCTCTACTTCTTTTCGTCTTTTACTACTTGTATCTTCAATTTTCCTGTGTCTAGTTTCTTGTATCATCTACATTCTACATTCTCATCTCTCGTCTTCTCTTCTGTCCTCTCCTCTTGTGTCTTATCTTTTCTTCCCTTCTGTCTCTTTTCTTCTTGTCTCGCACTACTTCTATCCTCAATTTTTCCACCTACTACTTTCCATCTTGTCTCATCTCATCTTGTCTTGGCCCATCTCGCCTGGTCTTGTCTATTCTCTTGTCTCCTACTTCATCTCTTCAAGTATTTTTGTCTCTCCTTATCTCGCCTTTCTTTTTTCATGTTTTCTTTTCTTTTCCTCTTCTCTCACAAGTCATGCTGCGTCTGTGGCCACATATGTTGTTCTGTTGGACAGGTGGATTTGCCATGTGTTTGTAAACCCTGCACACATTACAGCTGATGTAGACACAATGCTGGTGTATCTTCAACTCAGATAAGCGAATGTATAACATTAGTGAAAAATCTACGATTCTCTTTCTCTGTCGCAGCTATTGTGAGTGATGGACAGTATTGTGCTGGTTTCGGGAGGTGATGCATGTTGCGTCCTGGCTCTGATCTGACGCTCCTCATACGCGCTGAAGCACTGAGATGAGGGAAAAATCAATATTATGAGACAACAGAGCTAGAGCTGTTGACCTGACCTGAGGGAGAGATGAGGAATGAGAGACAAAGCGATGAAAGTGACTGAGTACAAGAACGAAGCGCCGCAGTAGAAACACAATCCAGAGAAGAAAAAGTCACAGCTTTGATGATGGATGAGTCACATATCGTCCCTGCAGGTGATGTTGTGTTGAAGCTCCATGAATATTTAGACACATTAGCAGATGAACACAAGAGCAATTCGCCTAACAGGCTAACACATAGACTAATTTAGCTGTATTGATCACTCAATCATCTGTTCTCCTGCCTGGAATGATTCTGCTTGATGCAAGCCAGAAAAAAAGGTGGTAGAATATCGGATGCAATGCATTATGGTTTGTCATTATGTCATTAATCCAGTCCTGAGTGTCAGCATTAAGAGACATCCCTTGTTTACATATTTGAGCAGATATACACAGGCCCACATGCAATTCCTGCTCTCATTTAGGGGAGAAATTCTGTGAATTGGATTTGAGAATAAGATGCAAGTACTACAAATTTTGTTAGTAGCTGAAAACATGATCAAATTAGCCATGATTTTTCATAAACAAACACTGGGCTGGGCAAATGTATTATTTTGTCAATGACAGGCATTTCAAATCTTCAGAAACGTGCTGAGTTGTTTGTGGAGTTTTGTAGCCACAGATTCTGTGCGTGTACATTTAATACATATTAAGGAAGTTTACTGTGTACATTTTGGCATTATGTGACAAAAGTGCTTCTCCAGACTGGCTGTTTGTTCATAGAGAGCTTGTACATCCTTTACTAAAGCTCATTGTAATTTATAGCTGCAGGAGTATAAAATGTTGTGATTTTAATTAATCGTTCAAACCTGTTACTGATTTATTGGTATTTTTCATGCTATATTTTCTCAATTATCACCCATTACCTATAATAAGAACCTTGAAGCTCCACACACATCTGCACTCAGTGTTTTGCTCTGACTGTGGAACAACTAGTGTCACCATGGCAGCAGTCAAGGCAAGCGGAAAACACAGCCATGAGCATGTAATGAGGTGACACGGCACCATCTTCACTTTTGCATAAGCACATGTGCTTTCCAGTGTGTGTGTGTGTGTGTGTGTGTGTGTGTGTGTGGCTTCTGCATTGTACATTTGAGACCCTCTAGCACACCATCTGGAAGCCTCTAGAAGGGCGACCAATAAGCCTACTCACATGCGACTCACGACTGCCATTAAATCAGTGTAAATACCGCACACGTTTAACCCTGTTACCCGGCCCTAATCCAGCTGGGGAGAGGAGGGTTCTTCACAGATCTGTGAAAAGCGCTTCACGTCTGTGATTTCATTGGGGCATTTCATGCCACATGTCCGTTAATGTTGTCATTAGTGGCGTAGCATGATCCGTGTGTGCACACATGTTGCGTCACCAAAGCCCATCATAAAACATGGCAAAAAAAACACAAGACACTCTGTATTGTTGCAAAAGTTTATTAGTGGCATAATTTATTTTTATTTTATTTTTTTTTGAATTCTTAAGTATTATATTTATGTGAAGTTGTCTCATAATTTATGCTATAGACAAAAAAATACCTTGTACTGATTTTTTTGGACACATGAAGTTTCATTCTTTAATATGTCTTGCAATTCAATTCAATATTGAAAAATTAATTGAATTGCTGTTAATGCAAACAGTATTCCCCCCCCCCAGTTTTTCTTTAGTTTTTGTTATTGTTCTTCCACCAGAACCAAAAGTTCTAAATAAAAATGATATTGAAAATTGAAAATGATATATAATCATTTAATGATATATATATTTTTGTTTGTTTTGTAAAATTTTCATTTTTTTTTTTTTTTTTTAATATGGAGGAGCTATGGCGAAAAATCTGTTTGTTATAAGCAGGTTATTTGATTATGCTGTTTCTGATAAAATAAATAATAATTAAAAAGAAAAAAAAATAAATGACATGGAGCTGGACTTTTTTAAAACTTAGCTACCCAGATCGTTCTAGTTAAAGGATAACTATTTTTAAAAACCTGGCAGCTACAAAAAATCTTAAGATTGTGGTGCCATATTTTGCGCCTTTCAGAAAATGTTAAAATCTAGTTGATCTTGATTTATGTTGATCTTGAAATGTTAAAATCTAGTAGATTTTTCTGTAATTTGCTTTAAGCGACATTTCTTTGGCTAACACAAACCTTCTCTTGTTCTCACAGGTGATCTCTGCGCTGTCCAGAATCTCCCACAACAGCATTGCACAGATCAAAGGCATCAGGTAACTGACTTCCTTCACACATGCTGATTGTGTTTCCTTTCAGTTGTGGTGTCTCTCGAGTCTTGAGGGATCTTTCACAGCACTCTCTCGGGTTGCACCTTTTATGTGGCTCCATTCAGAGGGCCTGGAAGGGAGAAGCGGTTGGCACAGACTACCGCATATGTGTGAAACCTGTGGGCCAAACCCATGAAGTGTGTGGTTGTCGCTCCCCTCAGGTGTTTTAGCGAGGAGGGATCCTGCCTCCCTTGCTTTACAGGCGACTGGGATCACTTCCTGTCTCATTATTTGCGCAGTCCATTCGCCCCGCTCCGCAAATAAAGCCTTTTATCCGACGGGGTAATGAGCTGATGGAGCGAGCCATTAAGCATTTTGCCAGAGCGGGGCGGAGGCAAGACAGGTCTGCCATTAGTCAGTGTAGTGTAACCGAATGAAGGGTGCCTGAATCACTTCCTGTCCTCACCGGGCACGCTGCTGTAGAGAGAGCTGCTGCCAAAATAGTGCCTGTTGATTTGTCAAAGTCATAACTCAGTCATTTGAATGTGATGAATAAAATGATTCTTCATTGTAAATGTTGTCTGAAGTAATTAGGGGGGGAAGATCTGAAGATGGATCATGGCAGCAGATGCATTTACTGTGACTAATGCAGGTCAAGTCTTCTGTTCAAGCCGTTTTAAGTGTAGTGGTTTTGGGGAGTTTGCATCATTTCCTGGCTGTATACAGGAAGCAATGAAAGGCAGCTTTGTTTTCATCAACGCCATGGCATGTGTCACAGCTTTGAGGGGGGAAACAGCATGCCGCTTTAACCCATATTTCTTTAAAAAGCCTTTTATTTCAGTCTATTGTTGGTGGTGTGTTTTACAGTTTTGTGGCATAGAATGAAGGATGCATAAAAATTTCTGTCTGTTTTATTTCTTCTTTAAGTGTCTCACAAAGCAAGAAATGTCTCAGTCTTATTTGGGAACATTCCTCGCACACCCTTTCGGATTTGGTTTAAAGCTGCATGCGGGTGTTTTTCTAGACGGCTTAAAATTCAGCCACATTCCGGCACGCAAAATGCTAATCAATATTTACAAGACAGAATTTCAGAGTTAAGGTCATTGCACACTGAGTCCGAAAATGTAGTCTGAAATTTTCGCACGTTAAAAAATAAATACGACCTCACGTTATGTCAATCACGTTTACACACTGCCTCCGAAATATTCGTCCGTCATAAAAAAATTCGGATCTGGTTCGATTTTTTCCGTTTTCTGCATCCGTAGCAAGCATTTTGAGAGGTGTTTTGACAGTTCAGAGCCACCGTACAAGCGAATGCCAAAATCCAGAATGGCGATTGTCAAGTTCATCCACTTC